TGCTCAACATAAGCCTGTCAGGAATAACCATACCTTTGAAGACATCCATTTCGATGCTTGGTATTACTATCAGCAATAACCTTTCTTAGGAAAATCACGTGAGGTCAATTGCTAAAAGTGCATCGCAAAAACTTGGTTTTCTGTTTCGGGCCAGAAGCTATTTCACTTCCAGTCAGCTGCTTATGATCTATAAGGCACAGATCCGACCTGTCCTGGAATACTGTTCCCATATTTGGAGTGCAGCACCCAAACTTACCCTGAAACTGTTGGATTCTGTCCAAAAAAGGACAATTCGTCTCGTGGGTGATGCCTCGCTCACAAACTCACTCACTTCTCTGGTACACCGTAGACGTAGACCTGGCCCTATTTTATAGATATTTCCATGGACGATGCTCTTCTGAAATATCAACAATTGTTCCTCCATTGGCAGTCCCTGTGAGATTAACTCGTCGAGTAGAGGCTTCGCACCCCTTCGTGGTCACTTTGGAGACCTGCAGAACATCTCTTTCCAAAGACCCGTTCATCCAACGAACAGCAAGGCTCTGGAACACATTGCCAAAGGAGGTGTTCCCCGAGGCCGAGATATAACCTCCAGAAATTTAAGAAGAACACCTTATTTCCCTAAAATACAAAATTCCCTAAAATACAAAATTACACTTACACTTAATTCAATGAATAATAGTTTACGAAAGCTAACTTTTATTTCCAGTAGGATAGGTTTGAACACAAACATTGCTGAAAATTGAAATTGATAGATTTGACCATCTTTTCATCAGATTAATTTTTTAGACAGAGAAAGAAGTTTTGATATTGCGAAGTCACACCCATTGAACATATGGAAACTTCGAACTCAAATATCTTTGTAATCGTTTGAAATAACCCTATCAAACCCGGTATCGTTGAATTCGTCATGATAATCCCTAACTGATTATGTAATACAATACAGGGTGTCCCATTTAAAATTCAAAAGTTTCCGGTGATACTGGAAGTGATAGAAGAAAAAGGGTTTCATCAATTGAGCAATTTGATATAATTCAAAAGTTACAATCCTGGCCGTTTTTTGTGCACTTCTCTGTATACAGGGGTCATAAAAATTGTTCGCAAAGATGAATCATTTTTTCACCTGGGCTGTGTTCCTGGCCCGCCGCTGCCACCGTCTTTTTTTTAACACGGTGTAGAGGTCAAACACTGAGAAGATGCGCTTCTTCTTCTTCTTCTTTCTTTCTTGCCTCGGTTTCTTCGTGAGTGTGTTTTCGGATGGCCCGGGTGGAATTATATCGATCGTCGTTTCGGTTTTTTATCGCTCTGGGAGAATTTAAATGAGACAATAAAGAACAGGAGGTTCCAAATAACAGTCGAAATAAACACCCACTATGATTGGAAACAGTCACCGAAAAAAAAGTTATATGGTGTTTCTACACTATATAGAATCAAATAATTATGGGAAAAATAATTGTGGTTTTTTAAAATACTTCATCTAATTAAATGGTTTTCACACTCTTCGAATGGAAAACGAGAAGATGAACCTCAATGAACCAAATATTATCATGATGGATTTGATGGACTCAGATGATCATGTGACTGACCCACTTGATTGAAAAGCTACTTTTTCATTCGATCAGAAACTGTCAGATGAGAAAGTGTTTTGAATCAATTTCAAGGCTCCTTACCAAATTTTGGACACGAAATTTTTTTATTTATTGCAAGCAACTTTAATGCATACAATTTTGACATATCGGCTGCAAAAAATCTATCTTGGTAAATGTTTTAAAAAAATCTAATCAAACAAATAATATCCAATATGAGAAAAAATTCCGAACATTAAGTTTTCTTTCATAGTAAATACTCAAGAATATTTCCGTTTGCGTTTAGGCATTTATTTGCTTTTTCTTATTTGATTTTTTCTCTGGGACGCCATAAAGAACACCATTTGAAAAAACGGCTCCATTTCCTCCATATACAGAAGAATCTCGAATCTTTTTTTCATATTGATTAAATTGTGTTTTCATGATTCATAAATATTATTTCATCTAATAATATACAATTGCGTAATTATCATTTTTGGTCTCGTATATAAGTAATAATGCATTTAGAATAAGAGCTATTCAATTATGTAGAAGGTACTTTGCACTTAATAATGTGTTGAGTAGTATTAGATACATTATCAATTCAACGAGGTCGAAAACTATTGAAAAATGAAATAAAAAATCCAGGTCCGTATTTGAAAAAATAAAGTTGATGATGACCGCTCGAAAAAGAAACGTCTAATCTCCAATTTGACAATTCCATTTTGTAGAGGAGAAAAAGTGGCAATGATATAATGATATTCATTTTGAAATATCTCTTCAAATAAACTCAGTAATAAAGAAAACGATCTGGCATCTTCTCCTTATCTTTCCAATTTCAAAGCAGCATTTTTTTTGACATAAAATGGTGCAACTTTGCTCTAATTTGACCTACTATGTATCTCTGAAGGTTACCGATATCCCCAAGCTTAGCCACGAGTTTGTAACACCCTGTATAAAATTCGATAATGCAATTTGAAATTACTGTTCAATAATAATCGTACCTACTTATTTCCTTCTCAAGCTAACTTCCATATTCCGAACAATATTCAATTCACAATATCATTCAAATAGTCTGTCACAATGACAGACATAGATGACTTAATCATAAAATACAAGGCAACTAAAGCTCAACTAGAGGCCAATCAACAAGATTTGCAAATTTTGCCGACAATTTCACATTTGAAACCGAAAATAAAATCAAGAAAAACTGCATGCAATTCGATTTGCAATTTCTATTATCAATCTTCGTACCACATATCATTCATCATACTATCGAAATACAGGCCACTGCAATCAAACATCGAACACAAATAAATAAATAAAATCTGAATAAATAAAAAAGTAACCTATGCAATCCATTTTTCTGAGCACCCCATGGAAATATCCAAAGATGCGACGCTGACATCTCGAGTAGAAGATTCATCTCGATAACTTCATCAAAAGGAAAAAGAGAGAAACAGACGATGCCCTCGTGCGAGAAAAGGACGAGGCTATTAGTGAGGCTACCACGGGCTCTTCCGAGGCACCGCTTATAATTTCGTAAATTAACGTTTTTTGTTAGTGTGTTTCAAATAATAACAAGGCGTCATCAAACATCTGGTTAGAAAAATAACAGCTATCACGACACGGTCAGGAATTCCTCGAACCTGATATTGATGGGTTCATTTCTTTCTCCCGAAAAGAAGGATGGGCTATAATATCTGTGATAATATACACCATATAGTGTAAATATATACTTAATACGACGACACTAGGAAAAAAATACCTATAGTCAATACGTTATCTAACTGAAAACTGACCGAATAATATTATCAACAAAACCAAAAACGAAAAGTAATTTTTCTCCAAATGACATTAAAAGTGGCTTTTTAATGACAGGCAGGAAAGGTGTACTTTTACTGCCTAGGCAGAGAAAATGTGTTGTATGGACATTAAAATTGACATGACTTGTTCGAAATTGTTGAATATCTGAGCTCATTTCAAACATACCCTCGTGGTCGCCATTTGACGATACGTCTAATAAACGATAGTTATTGGTTAGATAATCTTCCATTCCTACTCACCAAGCAAGGTTTTCAAGTCACCAATTATATTCAAGATATTAACAAGATGTAAGAGTCCTGTCGTTGAATAAAGCATAATAGGAGGAACCCATTGTTTTTGTAGTTCATTCTCGACTTTTTCTAACAACAACCATTAGCATGTTCAAATATTTCTTATACTTCATAATAAATATCATGTGAATGTGGAACACTTGGCAACATTGTGCTGAATGCTGAGAACTGACAAGGCACCGCCCACAACTCGTGTGCAATGTTGTCACGTCCGATTTTGTAACTCCAATAATAGCCGAGTCAGCAATAGTGCCGACTCAAGTTTGGAAACTCCGTATATCCTCCTTTTCTCTAGAAAAGCCGATCTCAGTGTGCCCAACATGAGCTTGTCAGGAGTAACCATACCTTTGAAGACATCCATTCCGATGCTTGGTATTACTATATATCAGCAATAACCTTTCTTGGGAAAATCACGTGAGATCAGTTATTGCTAAAAGTGCATGCCAAAAACTTGGTTTACTGTTTCGGGCCAGGAGCTATTTCACTTCCAGTCAGCTGCTTATGATCGATAAGGCGAAGACCCGTCACGTCCTGGAATACTGTTCTCATATTTGGAGTGCAGCACCCAAACATACCCTGAAACTGTTAGATTCTGTGCAAAAAAGGGCAATTCGTCTCGTTGGTGATCCATCGCTCACAAACTCACTCACTTCTCTGGAACACCGTAGAAAAGTTGGTGATCTGGCTCTATTTTAATGATATTTTCATGGACGATGCTCTTCTGAAATATCAACAATTGTTCTTCCCTTGGTAGTCCCCGCGAGATTAACCCATCGAGTTGAGGCTTCGCACCCCTTCGTGGTCACTTTGGAGACCTGCAGAACATCTCTTTCCAAAGACTCGTTCATCCAACGAACAGCGAGGCTCTGGAACACATTACCAAGGGAGGTGTTCCCCGAGGCATATAACCTCCAGAAATTTAAGAAGAACACCAATTCCTCACTTATTTCCCTTGGTTCTCACGATTGTCTCTGAACATTACAAGATATCCCTTTTCGTGGGAACCAGAACATAAAAAAAGGTACGCACGACGTTCTTCGATTCTATTTCGTGCTGCACTTCAAGAGATAAAAAATTTAGCTATTTCAAAGTAAAAACACGAACGCTATATCCCCACCCTGATACCCGCCGCTGGTTTAATAAGAGATCAACTAACAGAGAATGCGACTACGGTCCCTCCTCACGACACATCGGCCGGTGCTGCGAGAGCCAGCTAGGCCCCTCCCCACCCCTCCTCCTCCCCTCTCCCACACTCGTTAGTTGAGTTGTAAGGCCTGCCTGTCAACCGAAAGAGATCGCCTCTCCCGCTCCGCTAGTTAGTGTTCATGTTTAGTTCAATGCAGACCGAGTCGAGTGCATGTTAGTGTCGCATTATGTCATTGGTATGGTTTTGGTCGGGTTCGGCCTGCAAGTCGACCGGATTCGGTGTCCAGTGACTGGGTGATGTGATGTGGTAGTATGCCCGAAAAGGAGGCGGATTTCCAGGCCGCGATGTCGGCAGGTCTTCCGATGCAGTTTCCCTCGGCTTTCGCGGCTTTTCATGCTCCTTTGCCGGTGGATCAGAGAACTCATGACGGAAGATACGTGTGGGACCACAGGATGCAGCCTCCCGGTGGGGCTTTTCATCCTCCTGCGCCGTCAAGGTGAGTTCTGCTGTGCCCCAAATATTCCTACATGATGGTACCATCTGCTCTGGATGTTCTAAGAACCCTACAGAAGCTAGAAATCACATAACGCTCTGGTTCCCTCAGTTGTTCCAAACAGAACAGCTTCTAGAGCAGATATTCCTGCTCGATGATACTTCAGTATATGCTCTGGATCGCTTTGGATGTTCTAATAACCCTACAGAAGCTAGATATCACATAACGCTTTGGTTCCCTTAGTTCTTCCAAACCGAACAGCTTCTAGAGCAAACATTCCTACTTGATGATACTTCAGTATGGTGCTCTGGATCGCTCTGGATGTTCTAATAACCCAACAGAAGCTAGATAAATCACATAACGCTTTGGTTACCTTAGTCGTTTCAAATGCGATAGCTTCTAGAACAAATATTCTTACTCTGGATCGCTTTGGATGTTCTAATAACCCTACACAAGCTAGAAATCACATAACGCTTTGGTGTCCTTAATTGTTCCCAACAGAACAGCTTCTAGAGCAAGTATTCCTACTTCATGATACTACAGTATATGCTGTGGATGTTCTAATAACCCTTCAGAAGCTAGAAATCACAGAACGCTCTGGTTCCCTAAGTTGTTAAAAATGAAACAGCTTCTAGAGTAAAATTCCTACTTGATGATATTACATTATTATGCTCTGGTTGTTCTATATATTTACCCTTCAGAAGCTGGAAATCACATAACGGTGCCAACCTTAGTTGTTCCAAATCGATGTCCGAATTGAACAGCTTCTAGTGCAAATATTCCTACTTGATACTACAGTATCTGCTCTGGATGTTCTGATAACCCTTCAGCAGTTAGAAATCAGATAAGGTTTTGGTTCCCTTGATTGTTTCAAATGCAAAAGCTTCCATAGCAAATATTCCTATTTGATGATACTTTGGTATATACTCTTGATGTTCTAATAAGCCTTCAGAAGCTAGAAATCACATAACGCTTTGGTTTCCTTAGTTGTTCGAAATGTATCATCTCCTAGAGGATTAATCGATATCAGTAAGGTTTGTGTGACAACAGCTTGAAAGCCAGAATTCTTTATCTCCTGTTGTTTTGAATGCATCAGATGCAAGAATCCTCTTCTACATACATCTACCATCGACACTATGATTGAGAAATCCGAGGGGAAATCACATTTATATTGAAATATCGATCAGGACAACTAAGGTCGTATGTGTCGTGTGTTCACAACAACAAAACAAGGTTGCCTGGATAATTTCCTGAAAAAAAGAACCCGTGTGGACTTTAGATCGGAGCAACGATTTTTTATGAAAATACCCGATCTGCCACCATTATCCATTATCAGAAATGAAAAATTTCCTCAGCAAAAATGATAATGATAACGTTAATTCATAGCTATTTGTGTATTTAGAGCGCAAAGTGATAGATTGCCGCTCGACAAAGAAAGTTACCGCGCGATGCGGAGCGGAGCGCGGTAATCTTTGGAGAGCGGCAATGACACTTTGTGCTCTAAATACACACAAGATTTTTTCTACAAACGTAGCTTTTGGAAATGACTGCCCTGAAAGTATGAGCGATGGAAATAGTTCTTATCCAGAATTATCCCATATGTCCTAAAGAAACAAAATAAACTTAAAATAACTGACAAGCTATAAAAAAAATGTCGGACCTACTGAGAATTGAAATTGAACCACCAGCGTGGCAACCTGAGCTTCAGACCTCTGAGCCATGGTACAATAAACTCTGCAATCAAATTGAACATGACTCATTAATGCAATAAAATAAAGATACACTGTCTTTCTGATGATGACAATGAGTTTAAATATAAAGTATAATTTACCTTTTTTAACAGATATTCTTCATTGGGAGCTTCTTGTGAAAATTTGTTGGTATATATCTTCAGCGGTGATTGTTTTGGATTTTTTTCGCTTTATATCCAATAGATTGTTTCTTGAGAAATGCGATAAGTTTCGGATACTTATTGATTCTGATATTATTTTCAACATTCAAGCATGTGTATACGTACCATCGAATATATAGACCAATGAGTTGATGACTTCAAAGTCTTTGATTTTTCACCAAAATAAGCCAGCAAAACGTTTTCTGAATACTTATTCATCTTCTCGGAGTGGCACCAATTTATGAATGTATGGTATTGTAATTCATATTTCTTCCTTGATTTCTCCGGTAAGAGATTCAAACTTTTGCGCTTCCTGATATCAGGAGGTGTGTTTGATAGTTCACTGTCACTATTTTCCATCATGAAAGAATTGGGGGTTTTCAAGAATAGATTTTTTTTATGTTCCCACGAAAAGGGATACCCTGTAAAGTTCAGAGAACATCGTGAAAACCAAGGGAAATAAGGTAGGAATTGGTGTTCTTCTTGAATTTCTGGAGGTTATATGCCTCGGGGAACAGAAATGTGCGAGCACTTTTTCAATATTTCCGCTCACGAGCGTAAATGCTGTCAAAGAATGACATTTCTGGGAAAACGTCGACTTTGTGTTGGAATTTGGAAGCGTCAGAGGCTACTTTGTAAAGCGTTTGTAGAAAAACAACATTTATAACTGGAACTTAACAAAATATTCTAAAATGAAGTCGTAGACAAAAAGGGCCAGTCTATATCTCATTCACAATTTCGTTTGCTGGATGAAGTGAATAAAACCACCCTTTCCTCAATTTAATTCAGCATTATCGGTTTGAACAGCCGCCACTGCAAAGACACCGATAACAGACGACTCCAAACTATGTAAACGTCAAAGACTCATGCATCAAAATGAATGAAGACGGATTTTGTTGCTAGTCATACCGACGTCCATGTACGCTCATTTATCAGTCAGATTGTGCTGTCAATAAGCGTTTCGCCTCTATTCCACTCCTGACCGTGATTGGGCTGGTTTTTGTCACGATGGGTACATTGTCAGTCAGTCGGGTCTGCATTCTTCTTTACCATTCTTCGGCGACATTGTCATTGCTCTGCATGAGTTATAGCTTCATTTTGGGGGATAGATGGCGGTTTCGGGGTTCATCGTGAAGTGTAAAGTGACCGTTTCCGGTTATCAATTTCGTTTTTATTTTGAAAGGAGGTTGTTAAAGAGAGGAAGTTTGTTTATTTTTGTGTCCGCAGTTGAATACCAAACGGCTAATGAGAATAGTATCTTGACTATAGTGAGCCATCAATAAAGAGTTTCCTTTTGTGTTTGTTACTTAACTTAACGAGCGTATATTACCTATAAAACTTTCATAGTTCCTTTTTCAAAGATAGAATTGAATTTATTACGATCATGGGATCAGATATTATAAAATAAGAAGTAAATGACTTTTATGTGCTCAATTAGAAGTATGCAAACGAATGAGTTGATTTAAACTCGATTTTCATTTAAATCCAATCCACATGTCAGGGTTCACAGATCATTATTCATTTCATCCCTATCTCCTCCAAATAGAGCTAGCCGAATACAAAAATAAAATTCAATTATAAGGAGAAACAGTCCTGATAAAGAAGAGATGATATAATTTGAACAAAATGAATATTATTGGTTGTAGAGTAATCAAGAATATATGGAATATTCATACTACTCTTGAAAACAAGACTAGATTAGTTCCTGAAACGACCAAATAAGAGTGAATTTTAATATTTTTCAATATACCTTTATTTTCTCCTCTTCAAATATTCTGGTCACAAGAGGTATATTTATGCAGCAACATTCAACAATTATCAAGTAACATTCATCAATTAACAATTATCAATTAACAAGTGATGAAAATATTGACATTTATGCAAACCAAATTTACAATTAATGGATTAATAGTACGCAAGCGCACATGCCCTAAATCTGGACTATCAAAGCAACAACCTTACAAATTCGTTGTTTACAATTTACATTAGGAGCTAGAATTTCGAATTTCTTAATGTTTTCTGATCTGGAAGAGACTGGGTTACTTTTATTCACAATTTTTCTGTTGATTGCAATCGTTTCATGTTAAAACAAATTTCATAACGTCTGTCAGACATCACAGGTCTGACATTGGTCTGATCAATCCATGCCTTCTCTACCATAGAGATTATCCGTATTGATTATTAATACGTATATGATCGCGGATTGGTTTCAATCGACTGCTGTTTCCATAGCGAAACATGAAGCCGATTTTTGAAGACAAATGACTATCCATAAGGAAAAGTTTTGAAACGATCAGACCGAGAATCAGACACATACTGCTTTGATTGAAAGGCTAGTAAACGTCATTGTCCACCGAAACGCATGTCTTTGATGACTACTATAATAGCGCATGGCGCATGCGTATCATGCCACCAAATCCTTATGGATATTCATTTGTTTCATATTTTTGGCTTCATCCTGGCACCCGTTATGATCCGTATTGTTTATTAATACGTATATGTCCGCGATCATCTGCGTACTAGAACAAAGCCTGGTTCAATTAAAGTGAGAAAGTTAAAAGTTGGCCAACTTCTTACTTGTTACTTGTCAATTGATAATTGTTAAATGTCTGCATAAACACCTTCATTGAAAACAGGAAGTACAACTTTTAATTGCTACTTGTTAAATGATAAATATTACTTGATAATAATTGTTAAATGATGCTGCATAAATCCACCTTAACTCTCCATAGTCTCAATTGACTATGTTCTCCTTTGAATGTTTTCTAAAAGTGAAACTTCAAACCGCTTCAACAAATCATCTGATTTGTCCTTACTTTTAATTCATGAAAGTAAGGAGAGGAAATTCCAAAACTTAAAGGCGTTTCTGAAGGAGAGTCATTGAAATCCAAAAATAAAATTAACTGTTATGAATCATAATGTTGGTTCAATTTTCATGGATAACTATAAAAATCCCTCTTCTAATCCATTAAGGAGTACTTATTCGTCCAAGTAAGTTTTAAGTTTAACAGCTTTCAACTATATGGTTAGCAACTCGGTTAGCAACAAAGTATTAAAACGAAACTCAAATAAATAGTTCCAATAAACGCATTTCCATGTATCAAGAACCATA